AATGTATGATTCTCACAAGTGGTGGCACACAAGTCGTAGCTGTTAACCACATATGACTCAACGCAAATCGTACGACTCGCTCGCTCACACCACAGCAGAACATCACACATTTACCCCGTCTCTGACGGAAGGCCTCGATCGACACTATCAATGCTGCAAAAGTGGCTCGGATCACAGTCTGTGTTTCGTTTCATCTGCCCAAAGGAACAGCCAAAGACTGGGTCCTGCTAGACTGGATTCCCTAAGGTCCACTGCATCGCATTTCACCAGATCACCCTGTTTCTCAGCTGGTGGGTCGCAACCCAAAATTGGATCGTGGGACCATTTTCATTGGGTCATAGATGTGTGGTTAAAAAAAAAGAATTGAACATTTTTTTCTTTTTTTTTTTACTGTGCATGAACATATTGCACTACTATTACAGCACTGTGTATATTTACTATTACTGCTAGTTTTTGGAAAGTATTTTTTTTTATTTGTGTCGTGATTTAACAACCAAGGAAAAAGGTGGGTCTTAAGGTTAAACCAGTTGAGAAGCCCTGCTTTAAATCATTGGTAGAACATTTAACCAAAAGCAGCTAAACAAAGGCTATTTATTTTCATTGTCTTGAAAGGATTATTTACTGAAGGACTCGGTCCGGGACTTCGGACCAGCAGCGCACATCTGCACAAGGGTGTCAGGACAATACAAGCAGTGTGTTACGGAGAGATGGACGGTGATGACGTGGCAAATCTGGTCAGCACATACCCCCCCCAGTACTCTACCTTTACCCACACACACAAATACACACACTCAAACACACACACCCATCCCCCCTCCCAGACAGGCTTCCAGAAACAAGCAGCCTTTCACGATGCCCATAAGCCAACTCCCGGTGAACAGTGAGCTCTCTCACTTCCCAGTAACTGAAACTGCAGCACAGAAAGAGGGCTGGTGGGTCAGATACCGCTGACACGTTGTCGCATGGGGCATCGGAGCAAGTGAGGCCTAACTGTAAGATTACGGGCCCACGTCTTATCGCACTGGCTCGCTCCAAAGAAGAAGAAAGAAGAAGAAGAAACCAAAACGAGAAGATGCTACTCGACTGATGTGTCCCGGCTCAAATCAGGAAACAGCGACGTACTAGAGAAAAATATGCCAGTGTTTTAATAAAATAATAATGGTTCTTTCTTTTCCCGAAACACAGAACTTTGTTTTAATCTTGATCAAGTTCCAGTAATTAAAAGAGGGAGGAGTGTGGCACAGCAGCATGAGACACTGATCCCTTGACCGAAACGTTGCTGGTTCAAATCCCAAGGTCAGCAGAATGAAAAATAAATGCACTTGCTAAAATATGTAAAAATCCTTAAATTTTACTTTAAAAAAATATTAATACGTGATTTAGATGATTTGATTTTTATTTTTTCTTAAAGTTTCAAGGACGTTTCACCTGTTCATTGGTTTCATATTCTGCACAGTCATGCTTTTTAATGATCACATGACTCATCATATCGAGGTTACAATCTTCCTGACTTAATGACAGGTGTAGATCCAGGGAGATAATCAGAAAAGGCCAGTCATAAAAGTGACACAAGCGCAGAAACGCAGAGCTACGATGGAGAATATAGTTTCAGCCAGATAAAAAAAAAAAAATAGGCTACACTGATTTTCCGCTGCCTGGGATCCCATTGGGTCAGGGGCCTGATTCCAGGATGGAAGCGAGGCCTGTATTTTCATGCTGATTACTTTGTCACATTTCTCATCTGTTACATTTAACGACAGGTCCTTGCTCCTTGAGATGCACACCGGCACAGAGGATACAGTCATTGCCCAAGGGGTTTAACATCGGCAAAAACATCACGCTTGCCCTGTGTCAATTTGACATTTGCATGACAGCATTCCATTCACACATACCAGGTATCTTAAATAAATTTATGATGACGGATTTTTGTAACGACAGTATGGCATCGGAGGGAGAACGACATGCAGATGTGATACTCATGAGGTACCTTTCTCCGACCTCTACACAGCGGAGAAAAAACACACACAAAAGAAAAGGACAAAGGATTAGAGCTGTGTGTTCAGGCATCTTGGCGGGACAGCCGTCCTGTAGGACCCTAACGGTGTGTGTTTCAAATACATGTTTTTCCCTCTTCTCCAAATCCGTAGAAAGAAGAAAAAGAAGGAAGTCCTTAAGAAAGCAGAAGTTGCGGGTATCAGTTGGAAGCCAAAGTCAGAAAGGTCTTCAACGGCGAAACGGACACTTCTCCAAGACAAACACGATATTTTTGTGGTTTTCACTTTCTCCTCTGGCCCAAAGTGGCCTCTCCAGATAAGAGATTATGCTTTAAAAAAAAAATTAACACGCAATGGCGAGGTGACTGCCGCAACTCCTAAACACACTCCGCTAGATGGAGTTCCATTTGTGAACTCCCACGCCGGGACTGGGGTGGCGACCGGAGGCTCCGCCCCCTCAAAGTGGTGCAGTCTGACCTCTTGGCTGTACCTCATGTCCCGATGCACCATCATCAACAAAAAACTGCAATAGTTAAAGCTGAGAGAATTCAGTCATTCGAAATAAAACTGTGTTATGCAATTCAAATACTTGGTTCAAGTCCAAGCTCTCAAAAGATAAGATGCACTCTACAGGAAAAATAAAGCTGATTTTTAATCCAGGGCTGTACTAGTACTGAACTTCCAAACCATGTCCATACAGACTAAACAATAAGAAACGGGCCTCTTTTCCTGGTCTGAATTCTTATATTTCCTGCATGAAGGAGACCTCTTAACCATATTAAACACAATCGAAAACTCATCCATGAAAATACATATTCTCGCCTTCTGTGTAAGACTTGTATCTATATTGTCATTAAGTAACCATCGTTATTAGTTAAACCGTGCCAAAAACTAAAGAAATAATCTTTAAAGATCTGGCTTCATTAAAGTTTTTTGGCGCTGCTTCACTACGCTTTGCATAAAAAAGCGTCTTTTATTTGCCTTTTCAGTTTTGTACAAACCTCACATCGATTTGCCAGAACTCAAACACAAATATATAATAGAGGATTTGCTTAAGGCAAGTTGTTAACATTCTGTTGATTGTCTTCCTTTTGTGGAGGGACAGTTGTCCTTCTAAATGTAGACACGTTTAAGCAGGGCAGATAAATTCAAGTTATTGTTATATAGGAAAGGGGAAGACAAAAAAATGACGGAAAGACAGCCAGGTGACAACGGAGGAGAGGAACCAGAATCTCCCAAGTTGGGAGAATAAAACCTCTGGGGGTCCAAGGCCGGCCAACTCAACGCTCCCCCCCCACCCCCCCCAAGGTAAAAGCCTAAATCCATCAGATAGTCAGTGCACCGTACCAGCCTGTGTAGGGTGGCAGACTGAAGGCTGATCGCGTTCAATACCTTGGCTGAAGGTGTATAGAGGATCCGCATGTCCACGTCATTAACTTCTTACCCGTTTAAGCGCAACGTAATACTTAACCACAGCGAGTCGAAATAAAGTTTACTGAAAGCTGACGTAAGTTTTCATTTCTTCAAAATGCCACCGGATTACCTTCAAATTTTTCGCACAACGACAGCGATAGATTGTAAAGGGAAACAGCCGGACACACGCTGAGGCACTGATATAACTTTGGGGACCGAGTTAAGCAACTTCCTCACATATCGGCGCTTCATCGCCCGAACTCAGGCTGGACGGATGGGGGAAAGTGCCAGCGCTTCCCCGGGGGACGGAGACACGCACCGGGAAACTTTACGGGGCTGGAAATAAAATGTCAGTAATGCCATTCATGAGGGGCACACAACAGCCCCACTGTTTCGGCACCGTACACGTTTTCGGCCCGGGGTGACACCACGGAAAGCTCGGCAAAAGTGCACATTAAACGACACGTAATCGGGAAAATGCAGGGCGATCGCAATAAAAAAAAGCACAATGTACATGTTAACCCAAGCCGAGTGTCCCACATCCGTCATGCAAACGACATAAAGTTGGTGCTTTTTAAGATTTACTAATACACGATATAAATTAGAAAGACTGGCACGGAACTTTCTCTAACACCGCAGATCCTAGATATCTGTCGGCAGTGCGGTTTATAAACCGACTCAGGAGGAAGTGTCAGAGGATCGCCTGTAAAAGTACATATTAAACATCTAAAAGAACATTTAAAAGAAAAAACATTATAAAAAAACATGTCAAAGAAAGCAGCTACAATATTCGAAATTAGTGTCACTTCGCCATAAAACAGTTAAACCCCCCCCGACGTGATCGGCACCCGTCTTAGTTAATGTCCCATCAAAGTGATGGAGACGGTTCGGACCCACAAGCCTTAGACATGTCGGTGCTCCTCACCGTGCGCTGTTTTTTGTTCCCGGACATGATGATTTCTCCTTCCCCTGCTTTCTCTCCTGCGCTCGAAGGCGGCTGGAGTGCAGCTCGTCGATCCTCTGGAGGCGCTTCGATCCGCTCGCTCCTATTAATCGGAGGAGGGCGGTGGGGGTTTGATTCCTCCTTTTTCCCGAAGACCTCCGGGGGGGGGGGGGGAGGTTATAAGACACGTAGCAGCTCCCTGCCCCTCACCCTCCCACATAGGACTCAGCGGCAGCCTGGCGACTCGGAAATCACAGCATTCCGGAGTTCGGTTGGGGCTCGGCTTAGCTGAAGGAGCCACTTTGCGCCGAAACGGAGTCACGAAGCCGGCCGGCAGTCGCGTCGGAACGCCGCGGGTCCGTATGCGTCACAAAAAAGGCGAATTAAACTTTCAGTATGGCGTTTAACTCGCCGATTTAACTGCTGAAGCCGCCACTGGCTACACAATTAACTTCACATTCGGTGTTATGACTGTACCACGATTGCGGCGTTTATTTCTTAAGAAAAACGTATTCATGCATATGAAGCCTGTCCCCCATTTGACGTTAAGATTTACAAAGTACACCTCGCCAATGTATATAGATCTTTCTCAAAAGTGGAACCATTCCAAACATTTCGCTTCATGTTGCATTTTAAGTCACTTAACAAAGTCGTCTTTACAAGTAATTTTATTTGTTAAACAAGTAGCACATTATATACAAGAATCACATATGCGCTGAAAAAACACCATGAATTAACTTAAAGTATGACCTCAAAGCCCCGTACTGTTGGATAAAATAGAGCGTTTTTTAAATGTTCCTGAACAAATCAGTCAATCAAAAGATACAGTATGGAAGTTGGAAAGCAGGGAACTCTAGTTTTAAAAAAACCTATTCATTTCAGTACATTGTTCTTAAACGTATTTCTAGACTTTTTGCTCAGATTACATCGTCCATCCATCCACCCACCAATCCTGGTCAGTGTTATGGACGGGTGTGGGGGTACATACATTCACACACTCACAATACGGGCAATTCAGAGACACCAGCCAGCCTAACTGTGACTCTGGAACCCACACAACACAGGTGCCCGCTCAGACAGGGGTACCGTAAAGGGGGAGGGAATTTAGGACCATTCCCCGAGTGATGGGCGCTAGAAAAATTTGGATCATAACTGGACTGGTCTGGGGGCCCAATATGATATGCTTTCATGGGGCCCAAAATGTCTAGCGCTACCTCTGGCCTCAGATTACACATTATTATAAATATAAAGCAAAAGGTCCCAGTTTCAAACACTACATAAAAAGGCATATTTTCAGGAGGTAGACATTTATCTGTGTCTGTGCATTTGTGGGGAGGGTATTCAAGTTTGGAGATTTGGTCATTAGTAGCTTGGTGAAAGAAGCATTGTGAATTATGAACAATTTCATGAAAAGAATATGTACTGAAAGCAGACAGTTCATTAAAAATCATCAGCTCCAGCAGCCGTATTAAAGCATGTCACACCATATATACGATTTGGGATTTCCAAGCCTAAACATGAGTGGTATCAATACTGCCTCCTGCAGATCGCAGGTCACAGTTCGGAGCATTTGCTGCAGTTGGAGGGCGGCAACTCGCACTCCTTGTCGAAATCGCAGCCGCTCAGCAGCTCTCCATACTGCTCTTTGACGTCCCGGAAGAGCGGCACCGGGTCGCTGATCCCGGGGAAGGCCAGGGGCCTCTCGTTAAGGACGAGCTGCAGTCGCGGGCCCTCGCTGCAGCTGTACAGCACGAAGGCCAGGTTGGCGGCGTAGGGCACCATGCGGCTGGTGAGGAACGTGCGGTCGTGCTGCTCGGCAAAGTTCGCTGCGGTTAAGGGCGTTTCCACCTTGAAAAGATTCATGAGTGAGAGCAGGGGCAGGAGGGTCTCCGCATGGCCCACCTGAACCGCTACGGGCTCCGTCACGTCACCTGACCTGCGGAGTACAGAGAGGACGAAAAACAACATCGATGAAAAACGCAAGACTGCACTTCGACGGCAACACATCCTGCAAGCTGACGGAAAATGATGGGGGTGCCATGTGATTCAGCAGGTTAGCACGCCCCGCTTGCGATCAGGTGGTCACTGGTTTGAATCCTGTGGTCACCAGCGTGATTTCCCTGTTGGGCCATAACTGATCGCAGGACTGGTTCTCCATACTTTCCCAAGTATATGTCGCCTTTGATAAAAGCAAGTGCTAAATAAATAAATAAGGTCTCCCTTTGCACTTTAGTTTCTAACATTTCATAAGCACCACGTTTTCAGACTCAACTGGGTGAGGGGCAGCTCATCTTGGGGGGGGGGGGGGGGGGGGTACGTGGCTGGATGGGATCTCCCATTTCTGAGGAACTTCTAAATCTTCTTTCCACTTAAAGGGGCACCAGGGATCTCATCAGATTATCGTCCATGGAAATGCTCCAGGTAGCTGACGTGAAACAGATTAACGCAGAGCGCCAACCGTCAAGAACCACATCAGAATACTGCAGGTGTTCAGGAAAGGGACGGAATGGGAAGAAAGGCAGGATCACATTGTACAAGGAATCTATGTCCATGTACCTGTCAGGTAAATAAACCGCAGTCCCCTAAAGCATAGGATGTAAAATTTATACTTGTTTTCTGTCATACAGACACAGCAAAATGACTCCCTTACAGATCTGGCGTGGGATGTAGGATCTCTCATCGCTTTGTTTCGTGGCACTTTTATGCAATTCAGGTAATTAAAATTAGCCACACCAAACCCAAAGCAATGCCTATTGTAAGTGATCATAATTCAGCTAAATACGTTAAGTAATAAAAAAAAAAACTGCCTAAATGCCACCAGCGTGGCTACATTTGCTCCTAAGGAGTATCTAGGTTTCAGCGGTATCTAATTTTTCATACCATCATACTATCTAGACATTATGCTGCAGTATACAGTACGTTGATGGTATTTTCAAAATTAACACCACTCTGGTATCTTGACGATAAAACTCGCGATGCAGAGGGTCCCCCACCACATATTTTGCCGAACAAGAAATGTTCTTTGTCGCAGAGATTTCGGTATACTAAGGTATTACCGTAATAAACACCGAAGAATACCGGGACAGAGTGGTGGCTCTGAGGCTAGGGAATAACTTGAGGGTTGGGTGCAGGATTGGCACTCCAGCCACCAGAAAACCTCACACTGGTCCATTTAGACTAGCGTGGTGCTGAGGTATCACCTTCCACATGGCTGCACTCAGGTCCTCATCCCTGAGGTGGTTTGTCATGTGCCGGGTGCAGTAACGCACTGTAATCAGTGCCGGCTCCTTACCGCTCTCTCTCTCCCAGTTTGATATTTCCCATTTGAACAGCTTCTTACCAATTACTCTCTGCAATAATTGCTACTCGCCACTTTTTTTCCTGCCTTAATGTCACTGGTCATATGCAGAGTCATACTGAGTATGCCTTTTTTCCCCATTATAAGCACTGTTCTGTTGATAATAAGCACGCTCAGTTAAGTCAATTGTGTATCCTTCTTTAAGTAAAGAAGTTGCATAACTTGACGGACGCACCTTATGACAACATGCATGCGTGTACATCTATTCATAATTACATTTGAAGCCCATTTGAAAGGAGAAACTATTCTTTGTATAAATATAACTTGACATTTTCCTTGTTCAAACTGCTTATTCTAATCAGGGTTCCAGGGGGGTCTAGAACATATTCCAGGCAGGACTGAGCACAAGGCTGGGGTCACCCTGTCCATCACAGTTAACCTAACAGCTGTTATACCAGCCTGCTAATCAATCATTTACCCAGCATGTAACAGAATAAGATTATATAAGACCAAAGCTCAACATCTTTCTGAACGATGGCCACCCAGACTAGGAAGCTTCTGCCAACTAATCCTTGCCATCGACAAAGATCTCTGGAGAGTCTGCCTGAATGAGGTCCAACTTAAAGACCGAATTCCAAATCCAGAAGACAACCAGTCGTGGAGGGACAAGGCAGACATGTGTAGTCAGTGCACAGATCTTTGCATCTGGCAGCTGTCAAGTTTGGAGTGTCTGCAAGTTGGTAATGACCAGCTCTACCACAGAGTGCGTGTTCAATAGAGTGTCACCTTCCAAAAAAAAACAAAAACTCAAAAGAGTAGGCTAGAAGGTAGAAGGTGCGTGATGAAACCGGTCTGTTCAGTTTCTAAAGTTCACCAGCGCTATTGTGAACTTACAGAAGGAATCCAGTAGGAGACGAGATCAAAATCAAAAAGAGAATATTTAAAACTGTGAGAAGCATAATGATCAACTATCCTTACATCAGAATGTACAAAATGTACGTGGCTGTTGCCCATCTAAATAATTTAAATACTGTAGATTAATGGGTTCATTTTGTATGGATGGCACAAGGTTTGAAAAGAATAAACTGTAGAACTGGTACACATTGGACAAGTGAAAAGATAAGTATAGTAAATGATTAGGAGCTTCATGCAGAAAGCAGTAATGTACTTTATGGTCCAATGTGCAGCATTCATAGTTGGAGGTCAGACTAAGGTTGCACAGTAACAAAATTGCTGTGTAAGGGTGAGTTTGCTGAACATTTCACCTAGTCTACATTAGTTACCATACAAGGACAGACTAGAAAGACTTGAATCAACATGGAAGGATAAGTTTGCATGAGAGAGGTCTGTCAACATTTAATTAGTGATTTTTGAGATGAATTAGGGGGATTGAAAAACCTCTCTCGCTTGTTTCTTTAGGTTTATCAAAGTCGTATTTGTGATGCCTTCAAACAAACAAGCAAACATCCACACGAGTGGCTTGAACACAGTTGCAACCTAAAAGGACTCAATCCGACTGGGAAATTCACTGCAACCGAGATTCAGCAGTCTAAGCCTCTGTGTCCGTCATCGGAAGATTGCCATGATTGAGTCACGTGTCTGTGGGGCCCTGAGTTAGGGGCCCCTAACCCCAGTTCCAGGGACTCTGCCTGCTGGCCGACCCTGGGCTGCGACTCCCCAAGCTTGCTGTGTGTCACATGGACAGTAAAATGGGGTAGGCAAGGAGAGCGTTTCCCCACGGGGACGAATAAAATATCACTACACTACTCCGTGCTAAAAATCTGACAGATAAGGGCGTAGAGAGACCAGGGGTCAATCACACAATCCCACCAAGCCCTGATCACCAACGAAATCTGCGAATCATTCTTCGTTCAATTTCATACTTAAATGTTATTTAATGTTATGTAATGTCCCTTTATGCTGCTTCTATTGTCTTTAAATCCCAAGATAACCACCCCCACCACTCTACAGAGATGCACTAACACTTAATTCGTAGATCTACTTTGCGTGCAGTGTAGATAACATCCATTCCAGAGCACTGCTTGAAAAGCCTACGACGACTTCATTCCCCATCCTTTCGTGCCGTTTCAGTGGCATGTGAATTAAAAACTTTGTGTGTAAAACCAACAGGGTTCATTTCTGTCCTTTTCCACATTTGCCATTGTTTAGTCTTTGTTCATGCAAATACTTCTTGTTAATATATTATTTGTTTTACATATTGTATGTCTCCTTGGTATTACAGGTCTTTCCAGCTGAGTGACTGAAGGTAAATCTCGCTCAGAATGCATTTATCATTCAAAAACCATGACACGAACAGTGGGAGGTAAGATTTTAAGCAATGTTCTTTCAAAGGAAAGACTGCACGTTTATATAATGTGCTTTGTGTGTATGTTTTCTTTCCTCGCTCTAACTATACCTGGAATTTATAGTACATTCTATTGAACACTCAGTACTCTGGCTCAGAATCACAGGTATATTCATTAAACCGGTAAACAGCCCATGGTCCGTACATGAAAGCTTTTCAAAGCTCACCTTTCATACTAATTAATTCTACTTATGGGAAAATTTAACAGATCCCTTGAAACCTTTGTGAGTAAAATACATAAAAACATTGTATATCATTATGAAGTGTCCAGTGACTTCGATCAGACACCCAAAGGTTTTAAGCACATACAACGCACAAAAAGCTGAAGGTTTTCATATGGAGGCACGACCATAATAATCATGACAAATCAGTAGTTATATAATACTTAGTAAGAGGCTCCAAAGAAAGAGAATGTCCTGGATATTTTATTATTCTTGGCATCCATCTTCCATAATCACTTAGTCCTACACAGTTGCGGTGAACCAATAGATTATCCCAAGAAACACCAGCAGGGGGAGCCCTGTGTGGCTCAGTACGCGCCCACAGATACCCACCCAACCACATAAAAAGCAATGAGGATACACTAATTCAGCCACCCATACATGCTTCGACTATGAGAGGATACTGGCCTACTTCAAGGAAACCCCTCAGGGAGCCAGGGTAAGAGGTGAACACGCAACCCTGGAGATATGAAACCACTGAGCCACAATGCTGCCCACAAATTTCGGTTAAAAGATATGTATAGAAATAAATACAAAGAAAAACCCAACACTGAACTGCTGGTTAGATTAATGGTATTACGCTAAATTCCCAATTTCATTTCACAAACACACATTGTGAAAAATCACTGGAAAAGAAAAAAAGCAACACACTACAATAAATCTGGTAAAAGTTGTCTTCAACAGATTCCTGCAATTCTGCTAACTGTTGTTACAGTAGTTGTATATACATCGACTCAATATTTTTTGCGTAGAAGAGGAAGCTTGTCACTAGTACGAACACCATGGAAAATCTAGGCCATAAGCCACAGCACGTTAGGTTCAGTCTTCCACTGTTGTGTATATTTGCTCAGATGAACAATAAAACGATAAAGAAAACTTCTCATTTTCTTCTGTTCTCTAAAAAGTTACTGATATCTCGCTGGATGGCTAGATGAACACCGCTTCAGTTCCCAAACCTCTCCTCATGGGGACCTCAGCCATTCCACGTATTTGTTAAATTTCACCACCAGATGAATAAATTAATTAACTTAAGTTAAATACTGTGATATCGATTAGCCAAACATGATATGCTAGTGCTCAAGTCAACAAATACAGTTTATGTTGAATGGTTGCTGCCAACACAGGTCTTTTACTTATTTAGTAGTGGTTTTGAAATGGCTAAGCTAACACATTTTAACAGACATAATATCAGTTTTACGCCTACTTGAAGCTCATTTTAACAATTTTCTGACTGCTTATGCCTTCCGCACAGTACTGTACCAACGTCGAGCAGCTAGACATTTTCCGTTTATTTGAAATGTTCACTTTCTCTCACCCCATGATTGTTCCCGTTTACCTGATTTCATTAGCAGCCTGGTTCAAACGAGTGAAGATGTCGTGAAAGAGAGTGCAACTGGATTTGCGGTTGATGTCGTAGCCATAGCCCCTTTTCCAGTACTGCTTCAGATCGTTTTTATATTCCAGCACCTGTTAAAGGACACAATTTAAATGATTTTATGGGGCTACGTCAGTGGCAATCCTAGGAATCCAAACTCGACAAATTGTAATGAGAATGTAATGAAGGTCCTTCTTCAGGTTTCAGTATCCCACACTGGCATATGTAACAATGTCAACATTTTAACAACAGAAATAACAAAAAGAGATGTAGCCATTACTGCAAGAACATTCATACATATGAGGGAAAATTAAATGTCAGGAAAGATTTTGCTCATTCAGCCAGAAAATTTCACGCCTTAACGAAGCGGGGCTCTTTTTGGAAACACAGTGGAACTCCGAACAATAAAAAAACAAAAATATAATGCCTTTTGTTTTTTTTTTCCTAATTCAAGTTTTTATCTAAACTCAGTTTGAATAAACCTCCCAGACAGACAGGTTATCAACTATGATACTGATTAAAATTATACCACAAAGGTACTGAGCAAAATAGGAGTCAACCAGAATTATTCTGGTCAAACAGACAAATTTCTGGAATCGAATCCGGCTTCAGCTGGGAAGCATTGAGATATTTGATTTATTTCAGTCCCAAATTCTGGACCCCACACAAGAAACACAAGCCGGGAATTCTCCCCCCCCCAGAGTTATTCGCTAAAGGAATCAGGTTCATTTGGGTGAAATCCTAAGTGTTTTGGAATGCCTGAGCTGCAGACAACAGAAACCAGAAGAAAAAGGGTGGAACAAAGGAAAAATGATGACTTAAGCTCGGGACGTAATTAAGGATATGCTACGTTTATTATTACCACATTATGCTGATCCAATTGCAAAATACAGTTTAATTAAACAAGTCAGATTACATCATTGCAAATATGTGTGGCAAGATGCTGACTTCATATCTGAAAGGAATGTTCTCTCAAACATCATACAACTGGGTGAAAATGTCCATTAAACCTTGAACATATAAGAGAATTGGATTTCTATATTAATGATATATATATATATATATATATATATATATATATATATATAAAAAACTCCATTTATTTCTCAAGTACAGCACTGCACTAACAACGCAAAGGTTGTGGGTTCAAATGTCAAATGCCATCCTTCCCCATAATGTAAGAGACTTTGGATTAAAGCATCCTTTGTACATGCACATAAAAGATGCTTTATGTATAAAATTTATATGAATTTTTTTTATATAGTAACTACAAGAGAAAAAGAACCACATTTGCAATTTTAAACCTAGCAGAGATTTCTGATGCCACTACAACTATAAACAATTTCCTCTGGGATAATAAAAGTATTGCAATTCAACTATAGGAATTTCCATCCCATTGTACATACCTGGGCGTCGGATTCGTCGAACAGGTTGCACCAAGCAGAATTCTCAGATTTAATGGCAAGTTCGTAGGCACACAAGAAGAAAGCAGCCTCAGCCATATCTAAAGATAAATATTAAGTGTTATAATGATGAGAAAGATCAGTGCTAGCAAACGGGTTACGCTAATGGACATATATGCAACCTGGTGTGATATGACTCTGTGGAACCTGCAGGCGGTCAGCCATCTTTTCCTGGACCAGCTTCATCTCTGCTGAGGACTTGAACAGATCCACCTCTTTAAGGGCAGACTCATTGTTTTCCACATCTTCAATAAATTTTCTACAGTGATCGAAGAATCTCATCAGGTTATCATTGACCTCATGACTGAAATCCACGTCTGTAGAGGTAAAAAAAAAAAAAATTATCAAAGGGAAATGGTTAGCAATCAAAGGGAAATTTACACTCACTGCACATCAAGCATATCTATGTCTCTAAGCCAAAAATAGTTTACCCAATGGAATCTTAATGATAAACCAGAAAGTACGCCTTAGGCAAGCAATCACAGTACAGTATCTGAGTAACTTCTGTTTTGCAAATTTATCATTAGGTATTATGTTAAATTCTCAATGGTGTCCAGTTAAGGGTAGCATTCAAATATGATACATCCTTGCGATGGATCATGGAAGAACCGGTACCTCTGACATCCCAGAGTCTCTGCAGGCCTTCCTGGAAAGCAACGATGCTGTCCACACACCGGTGTTTCGAGCTGGTGATGAACTTGATGCGGTTGCCTCTCAAGTTTCCTTCAGAGAATAACGACGGGAAAGCGGTGGCTAATCTGACGGCCAGATGCTTGTGATCGTCTCGGCCTTTTTCCACGATGCGACCATCCATCTCCTCTTTGTACCACATCTGCCATTTACTTTTGATCTCATGCAGCCATCCTGCATTGCTCTTCGCCTCTGCCATAACAAGATTGTAAATGTTGTGCATTTTTATCACGTTCTTTTTCGTCGGAAATCGTGTACCATGCCTAATGATTACAGTGAGGTGCACTGCGTCGCATCCAGGCGGCGGTTTCAAAACAGTTTTGTTGACAGCCAATATGTCGGCGAGAAGATACGGATTCACTTCTTCATAACGGCCTTTGGTACCAAAACGCTTCGCAATATCGGGTATATTAGGACCATCAACTTGGGAGCTGCCGACACAGCAAGAATAAAAACGAGCTATGGAGATGCTGAAGGCTGTAAAAACCAGACCTCTGGATACAACTTCTCTCATTTTCCTAAGTATTTTATATTCTTTTCGTTCTTTCTACTGCGGTACCGAAATCAAAACACGGAAGTTAGTGCCGCTCACAGTTTCTGCATGCTGGATTTGTTTCTACTCCGACCTTTGAACCCAAACATCTGAAGGCGGCCAACTGAAAACTAACCCTGGGTTCCCAAGTTCCCGGGAAAGATCGCTGTTTTAAAAGCACGGCTTCCCAAAACTCGGAGTATACACATCCTTTCTTTACTTTAATGTTTAAAACGGTCGTCCAAAATGCACATGGTTGTCAACTTTGATCAGCTGGCTGGCGTGAGATTTTAAATTCGAGACGAGTCTGAACACGTGTATAACAGTTTGATTGCCTTAACAATAGTGTAGGGTTTGCAAATCACCCCAGCGCTTCTGATGTAGCTGTTACATTTACAACGGAATAATATTGATTTGCCGTAAGATTTCTGGCGTGAGTTGGCAACCCTGAATGCAATAATCAACCCAAATGGGGTTTCTTTACAACGTCCTGCTTCGTGGAATAATCCCATAGACTGTTCTTGTGTTACATTACTTCCCACGCAATACCCTTTAACACTCACTAGTCGGCAACAGACTCTACACGATATTGGAAATGTTGTGACTTAAGGGCACGTGAACGAAGCACCGGGTGGAGACTGTTTATAAAGTGCCCTAGAAACTCGATTTTCGTTTTACTTACCTTCACTTGTTACTAATAACATCGTCAATCCCCCCCCCCCTCATCACGATCAGGCATTGGTAAATACGACTTTAGTCTATGCGATATTGATAGTGTTAATTGTCGTATTTAACATCGTAGACAATACTTGTATGAAGGCGGTCAGCTGCGTGCATGGAATTTTCCTCCCAGTTCAATATTTACGTTTAACCCTCAATGGTTCCTTGGGGTGCGTTCTGCACCCCCTGCCCATTTCTATGG